TAGCAATGCGTTCCACTGGTTTGTAATTTCGAGAGGATTTAAAGTCCCTTCCCTATTTCCTTAGATTTTCCAGGACCTCGCATGCTCCGGCCATCGAGAGACAGCCTGAAGGAGGACGGACGCCTCCCAGGGTACTTGTTCGCATGGAGTAAGGTTGTCATTCACCAGGACACCTTGAACTTGGCTTGCAACCACAGAAACGGCATCCAGGCCTGGGCAAGTACTGCTCTGGGTCAGCTTCCCATCAGATCGGGTTTTCTTTCCGGGGAAATTGAGCAGGTCCTTGGTTCCAGGCTCGCCTGTACAGGGCAGGTAACCTCAGGGCCAGCGGTCTCCCGTCGAGAGGTAGACCCCGCCGGAGCACTGGAGGCAGCGCCCGTTCTGCCTCGGTGGAGGAGGGTTTGTGAGTCACCAGAAGCAGCCTCCTGGGGAAATACTTACCCAGAGACGTCATCAACGAGGAGGGAGGTGAAGAAATAGTCCTGGGTGTTGAAAACGAGGCAAACAGGTTTTCTTTGTTTTAATTCACCTTGTCTGCACGCTCCTATCTGCAGGGGTGTTTTCATGGTGCAGTTTCTGTTTATGTTGGGATTGGATATGTCTGGGAAGGGAGGTAGGGGCTTGCGGTTCCCACTGAAACACTTCCCGTCCACCCGGAGGCCGTCTCAGGGGCCTGTCCCCAAGGGACACTGGCCCCCTAGATATGCAAGCCCATGCTGCTGGTGGCCAGGCCAGTAGCTGGTTCAGTGGCTCAACTCAGGCTTTCCTGGTGCCACTGGAACAGAAAATGCAGCTTGGGGCTCCAGGACAAAGCAGAGATTTCCACTCCCCCAGAATAAACATTTCAGACAAGTACTCCGTGCCTGTCAGAGAGAATGAAATAAATGCAGAGCTTGCTCCAACCAAGAGGCCCTGGATTCAGTTACCCTAGAAAGTATGGTTTTTATCCCAAGTGAGCAGACAGGGCAAAGTGACACAGACTATCCCAACTCATGAGAAGCTGTTGTAGAAAAGCCAGAGGGATTCCTTCTAAATTCACACTGGGGGAGTTGGGTGGGACATGACTGACTCTTCACAACCTCTTCCTAGCCAACCAAGCCCGTTCTTAGTCCCGTTAAGAGCTGGTACCAGCAGGAAGCAGAGGTGGTCGGGTTGCTGGCGGGAGAGGGGACTCAGCCTCCACCACGGTGACGTGCTCACAAATGGCGGGGTCGGGGTTTCAAGCAGCCGCAGAGCAGAAACCACTTGCCGAGACTCACATGCAGACACAGCACCAGGAGGCTAAGGCGGTTCTGCGGAAATAAGGGCATCTGTGAAATGTTCGACTACGGTCCCCTGCACGGGCTGGACTGCATCAGAACTGGGGGGAAAGTATGTGGAGAATTTACGGGCACGAGTTAATGATGAAAACAGAGTATGCTGTGATTCTATTTATAGCTCTAAGAGCACAGAATTAGAGACTCTTATAGTACTGAAGAAAACCTTGGAAGCACACAGGTCATTAGCCAAGTATGTGGCTTTTATGGGGACTGTCAGGGGTACGTACAGGCCAGTGCTCAGAGGGAGTCCACGCCTGTACGTGGTGACGTCCCCTCCACAGACGGATCTGGAGGCCGCTCACTCCCACCGCACGCCTGCCAGCTCATCTGAGAATCGGGGTGACTTTCGAGAATCCCCAAAGGAAGGCTTTCCTGGGATCTCACTCATCTCATTGGGATGGGGCGCGAGGCTGGGGCTTTCTCACAAGACGCTAGTGACACCCTGACCGAGACATTTCCAAGAGGGGTCCCGGGTTCTCTCCTGGGTTCTGGTGCCCACTCACTGACTTGCCCTGGAAGAAGCCATGCTGAGGGTCAGGGTGGACCTGGGTGAGCCTCTTCCCCGCTGCCAGTGTGGGAACTGGGTGCTCACCGGGGCCTGGAATCATGCAACAAAATCGCTCTTTGTGCTCACAGATCCTCACTGTGGCGAGTCTCGGGCTATCAGGCGGACCCGGCCGCCTCTGTGAGCAGTGCCCAGGGGAACCGCCTCTGTGGAAGGGGGTGGAGAGCAGGGCTGCGTGTGTGCCTTCACGTCCACGAGCTTCTGTTCAGCTGTCGCTCTTCGTATGAAGGTTCCCTAGGTGCCTGCCCGGAAGCCCAGGTGCTCCCCTTCTGGTCTCAAGAAAGGAGACAGGGGGCCGGCAGTGACGGGCTTTTCACAGACCTCTGCTTTGTATATCAGACTTCTGCAAAAAAAACAAAACAAAATGAAACAAAAAGATCAATCCATTTTGTCTTTGAAGTTTCAGGGGCAAAAAGGTGTTGGCCCACCTGGGCTTTGAGCAGGCCATGCTGCAAACGCAGATGGCTGCGCCCCCAGGGCCCGGTCCTGCGGACGGTCTAGTCCCTGGCTGTCCTGACCGTTCCATTGGTCAGCCTCAGACCCTGGACTGCGGCACCACGGGGCCCCCGGCTATCGGTCTGCGTGCTTGTCCTCCACCCACCAGAAACCAAGAGCTCCGTGCTGAGACTGGGACTGGGAGGGCGGTCAGCGTGTGTCACCTGGAAACCACCTGGAAATTTAATGGGAACACGAACTCACCTATTAAATGATAACTCTGACACTCTGGTGAGGGGCCAGTGGGGCGCCAGTGAACGTTTAATCACCGGATCTTCTGCAGGAGAAGGGAAAGCCCCAGTTTGCAGCATTTGCTGATTGCTGTGGTGTAAATGTTCCCGGTGAAGCCTATCTAAACCTCCCAAGGTTCAGGGAACGCAGGGCTGGCAGGAGGCGCACGGTTAGCGGTGCACCATCCTGCGGCGCATTTCCGTACGACTGACCTCACGGCAGAGATCGTTAACCTGCAGTCACATGCCCAGGCAGGGGCGAGTTTTGGACATTTATTCCCTTTGCCCTTGACATAATGTATTGAACCGTAGGTTGATATTATTTCATTTACAATAATGGCTGTATTTAACAATGAGCTTGCCACATCCTGGAGTGTCACAGTCTGCTGGTGTGAGCTGGGTGCGGTCAGCACTGGCTCCAGGACACCGCTGCAGGAGACCCTCTTGGGAAGTGACTTCAGCCTCGAGACTCGTAGAATCCCTGGATGAGGAAGCACTTGGCCTTCAGGGGTCAAGAGAGAGCCCGCAGCACACGGCAGCCTGAGGGTGGATGGGAGGTAACCTCTCACTGCTTCTTCAGAAGCGTGTACCGGAAACTTCATCTCAGATTGTGAAATGAATGATGTTCATTCAAAGCAAAATAATAATAGTAATAACAATAATAATAAGTACGAGGGCTGAGGAGGTCTTTGGGGGGACTTGCCACGCCCCTGCTATCTGAGGGCAGGTGCAGAGAGACCACGGCCCGTTGACAAAGGCAGGCGTCACAGGTAGACTCACGGCAGGGGTCCAGGTCCTGGGATGCTGACCCAAGACTTGTGAAGGCTTCAGAACAGACGTTCTTCTCAGCTGCGGGTGAGGAGGGGTCTGGGCGGCTTTGTGGAATCACGGACACACGGAGCCAGCTGGCAGTCGTCCCGAGATTTGAACCAGTGATGGGAACCAAAGAAGAGTCTGGGAAGTCTGTATCTGTCAGTGTTTGGTCTCGGTGAGCACTTTGCTGCCAAGTATTTGTTCTCCCTCTCTTGTTGTAGGACGGACAGAGCCATCCACCTGGCGCTGAAGAGCCACATGCCAGACACCGAGAACGGGGGACACGGAGCAGCGCAGTGGAGAAACGCTGGCCACTTCATCGTGAGGGCACCGCCCCGGAGAACGGAAGCTAACGCTCCAGAGCCCGACCTCCCTGAAGGCATGTGGGTGATTCCACAGGGCAGGTCACAGGGCGCTGGGGACAGGGGCTCGGGGTGGAGCTGGGAGCCGATCAGTTGGAGGTGAGGTCAGGATGACGAATCACCCCCCCAGGAGTTGAGGACAGCTCTGAGGTCTGTCCCTGGGTCCCTCTGCTCTTGTGGGAAAGTAGCCAGGGGCTCGCTCCACCTCAGGGCTCAGGGGCTGAGATCGAACTCAGGTCAAGACGTGACCTTTAGCCCATAGTGGTGTGACCTATGACTGTCAGTCAGGTCCGGGCTACTGTCTTCTGCTGCCTCGAGGGTCTCAGTGGTTGCTGATTATGGGAGGAGATGGATAAGTCTCTGAGGGGATATATATATATATATATATATCCCCATGATTTCTAGAGCTGGGATCTAAAGCTAAGTTTAATAAAGTTATAAGGACCCTTGGTTTGACTCTTCTTGGGGTTTTGTAGTTGACTTGCTTTTAAAAACAACAAAATAAGCATTTCAAGCTTCTGGCTGAAAGGCTAAATGTTGAAGGGCTTTGCTTTTCCCAAATATGCTTCTAGAAGGGCGAGGCAGTGGCTGGCTCTATTTGGATGTCTAGCCTCAGGGGCTTTGCATTAGTCCCATTGTTTATTCATGAGCTGTTGTTCCGTGAAAACTATAAAGTACATCTATTGCCTTAGGGCGGCTGCATCATAGAAACTCACTAAGCTGAGCATCACGGTCTCTAAAATTCTTAAATAATCTGGAAACACGTGTTGTAGGTCAGACCCCACTGCCTGCAGGGCGACCTTGCCTTCACCACCCACGCAGAGGGTGGCAGGTGCACCCAGGTTTCCCTTAACTTCCCTCCCACAAGTGCCCTTTGAGTTTCATAAACAGAGCTTGCAGGGTGCGGTCCTGAAAATGGTCTTTTGTTGAGCCCCCTCCCCCCTCCATTGTACAATTCACTTTAAAATATTTAGATGACTTTCAAGTCCTACATCCCCATCTTGCATCCTCTGTAACTCTAGAAAACTGGCAGCCAGACAGCCCTGAATTATACATGAACACAAACAATGACTCAAAACCCCAAATTCCTCCTTCACAACACAAGGTTGAGCGGTGCCTCTGGACAATAACAGAATGTTCCAGGGTGAAAAGTTGCAATAATGTTTGCGTGCATTTGTCAGCTGTTGAAACACGCCCACCCAGGTGAACCAAAGCATCTTTCAGAAAGGAATTCATCAAAAGGGGCTCCAGAGTTATTGGGAACTAAGGGAAGTAATTCAAGGGGAGACTTGCGGTGAGTGCTTATAAATAGAGGCAAAGTTGAGATGTCTGTGATTTTAACTTAAAAACAAGATAATTTGTATCTCTTTGACCTGCCTTTAAAAGTACTGCTCCTCTTTAACCATCCCCACCCCAACTTCTTTCCTTAGAGGGTTTCTTTGATGGAATTCATGTAATAGAATTAAAATCCAGGCCTGTCCTAGGCAGAGACATTGTTTATAGAAGGCCTTGTGTATTTAATTTGTCTTGACGTTGATGTGTTAGGTCCTTGACGTTGATGTGTTAGGTCCGGGGTCCAGAGGACAAGTCTGAAATTGTCAGTAGAGTAAACTTGGACCTAGAATCTTAGATTTGGCAAGCGTCTTAAAGCTTATTTATTACAGCCTCCTGCAGTCTTACCCACAGCCAGCCCTTGCCTGGGCCCTTGACAGACGGGATTATTTGGTGATTCTCAGATGTCACCAAATGGACAGGCACCACTCAGAGAAAAAGAATCCTGCAGGAGCGAAGGATCAGGGAACTCAGTGGCTGCTGTTTAGTTTTAGCCTTGTGTTCCTGGGCACGCTGAGCTGACTGTGCTTTTAATTGTTCTTACACGTGTGTATTCTTTTATTTTTTCCTTTTCTTATGCACTCTTTCTTTTATTGTAACAAAATTACAACATGCTCCCAAGGTCAAACCGTAGAGAGGTTTAAAGAATAGTCATGAGAATGACTTTCTGCTACTGCCGTATTTTCTTACAGATAATTTTCACAACCAATTTTTACACTTTAGTTGCCGTATTACACGTTTAACCTGTTCTCTGGCAATGGATCCCAGGCTCCTTGAGAACATTTATAGAGAAGCTGTTTCTATACATGCTGACGTGAAATATGTCCATTCTAGTGTTACTGTTGGTATTTAACTAATTATTAATGAGGAAAGGGAAGCAAAGGAATGAGACAGTGAGTTTAATAAACTGGGGAGCAGGAGCCCTTCCCGCTTCACCAGGAAGATCAGCTTTACACCCCGGGAACCACAGCACTGTCCTTGCGGGGGATTAACACTCCTCTCTGCCCATCTGGTACCCGGGGCCCAGGGGGAGGTGCTTGACCAAAGAGACCTGTCAGTCAAACTAGGGGCTGAGGACCCATCCAAAGCCCGTGGAGGTTTGGGAAATTGATTGGTCTTTTTAAAAAGCAAGCACCTGGTCCCTCCCAGACACCAGCTCCTGGTCATAACCTCAGGGAAACACAGGTGCTCGCTTTCCTTCCCTTTTTCTCTCTTTGCCACCAGGAGCACGCACACCAGTTCGTTTCCGGGTAAGAGCCCGCTCACCCGGAAGCACAAGCCTTGAGCGAGTCCCACAGCTGCCGAAGCCCGGGGCGGACCACGTGCGCTCTCCAGACAGGCCCGGCTAGAGGAGGAAGCAGGGACTCTGGGCTCCTGCTTCATTCTGGCCTTGCTGAGGACAAGGCTGGACTTCATCCACGGCCGTCAAGAGAGCGATGGGACATTGGAGACCCAGGGGGCAGCTTCTGGTTCCACTGGAATCAACCATTTTGCCACACTGCAGTCTCCAGGCACGGGTGCTTGGGGTGCTTTTCTCGTGATCCTGTGGAAGAGCCTGGTTTCCACCGACAATGCTAGTTTTATACAATTTTATTTTAAAATTTGTATAATTTTAAAATAATTTGCGTTGTAAACATCTAAAGGACAAAGGTTTGATATCATACCATATACGTTTTTGCTTTACAACTTTCTTTTTCGGGAAAATAAAATCTAACATTACAAACCTCTTGAAAGAGGAGAAATATTAGAGAAACAACCAACCAGTTAGTTAATGTGTTTGATAGCTAAATTCAGTTCCATGGCAGCCGAGGAAACAAGAAAACCATGCCGAGTGTTATGTTTCTCATTTCGTGGTGGTAAGGGAAGGCTGGCATGGTTTTTTAAATAAAACATTTTTGCCCTGGCTGGTGTGGCTCAGTGGATTGAGTGTGGGCAGTGAACCAGGGGGTTGCCAGTTCGATTCCCAGTCAGGGCACATGCCTGGGTTGCAGGCCAGGTCCCCAGTAGAGGGCAAGTGAGAGGCAACCACGCACTGATGTTTCTTTCCCTCTCTCTTTTCCTCCCTTCCCCTCTCTCTAAAAATAAATAAAATATTTAAAAGAATGAATGAATGCAACCAGAAACTTAAAAAATAAAATAGAAGAGACTGAAGTCTATGTGGAATCCCTTGGGCTGACCCTCACACACATGCTGGGGTGCAAGACCTTCAGGCAGACAGTGCCCGTGTGGTTCTGCGGGGTGGAGAGGCCCGCTGCCCGCGGTCTTGTAACTCTGCCTCCACGAGAACAGGGAGGCAGCAGGAACCTCGAAACCTGATTACGGTGCTTTGGGTAAGAACAGCAACGCTGGCAGCTGGGGAAGAGGAGGTGGTGTTGGGGCAGGTTGTGAAAGGGACCCGTGGCACCTCCGGCTCTGTGCAGGGCAGAGAAACGCGTGAGAGGCATCTGAATGACGTGAACAGATCACCGGATTGTTTTGCTTTCGGGGTGGGGGGCAAGACGATGCTCCAGGGCTGCTTCTCTTTGGCAGCAGGTGTATTTAAGGCAGGTGCCTGTGGGGATTTCCCGAGTCCTTAGCACACAAGATGGTGTCTCTTTATGAGCCAGTAAAGAAATAAGGAACTCCAAACCCATGACAGATTAATCACACGATTGTTTCAGGCAAGGGAGAGGAAAGAAAGAAGGCCCTCATTTCCTTGAGGTCCTCCTTTTACGAGGCTCGTTCTCGGGAGACGGTTTAACCGGCTTCACGGACACCCAGGGGTGAAGACAGCTTTGGTTTGCTCCAGGTCCCACGTTCCAGACCCAGAGGTGGGGACACAGGCAACCTCATCTCAGACTCAGGGCCCGAGAAGGGGGAAGCCAATGTCGGCTTCCAACGAAGAAGCAGCTCATTCACAGGAAACTACGGACCAACTCTCTGTGGAAGGACGTGTGGCAGTTAGACACACGCACAGGGAGGGGCATGGAGCATTCTGGAACCCCCTGATCCCAGGCATACGAGTCAGGGCAGTGTCAGGACAGGGAGGGCAACCTCACCGCACCCCGCCACTCACACCCCAACCCGCAGCGGACCGATGCTGGTGTGCCTTTCAACGTGGGGCCCCCTTAGCCCTGCAGCGTCGGGTCACCCAGGAATGGAGCGCACCCGACTTCGAGGTTCCCGGCAGCTGCCTGGCGGCCCTGGCACCAGCAGCCGGTGGAGGAAGCAGGCAGAGAGAGATTCAGGATATTTCCTGCATTCGGGGTCCTCTTTCACTGTCTCCAACCCCCCCCGCGCAAGCGACACTGCAGAGAAACTTAATGGGAGCCACCTGACACCCAGACGTAGATGCTACATGGCCTTTCAAAGCTCTTTCCTCTGACAGACACAGGGAATGGGCCAGAGGCCCAAGGCCGTCTTCCCTCAGCTTCATCCATGAAGCAGTTGCCATGGGGACTGTTTGTAATTAGCATTTCCTGCACTGATTCTGGGGACAGAGCAGTGCTTTAGACGGGAGGACAACATCTTACGGCTTCTTTCAAGAGCAGACGTTAACTCATTCACCGGCACATGCAGTGTGTCGGCCTGGAGTGTGAGCCGTCGGGGCAGACCTGACCTTGTTAGAAGCGCTGCGTCCGGCGAACACTGTGAGCCAGGCGTGATTGCTTTCTCAGATTCCAATCCTTCCCGTGCAGACAGCCGGAAACACCGCGTCCCGGTGACATCACGTTGTGAATGACTTGCCCTGGCCTGCATGGCTTGGTGGGCTGGGTATCGTCCCCCAGAGGAACAGTCGAGGGTTTTCGTCCTGGTCAAGTCTCACACCAGAGGCAACTGATGGATATTTCTCTCCCTCACATTCTCCCTCCCTTCTCCTCTCTCTAAAAAGAAATAAATAAAATCTTAAAAAATTTTTTTGAATAACTTAGCTCAGTCTGGCTCACTTTTGGATGGGCCGCCGGGTTCTTCGTCAATGTCGCCTTCGAGAAGTCCCGCCCAGGGAAGTACCCAGTGAAGGAGAAGCTGCTGGGAACTAAGACAGTAAACGAGGAGACGTACCCCACATGGCAGGCCAATCCATGAGCCATGGCTTGAAGGTACCAAATGCCCAATTGCTTTCTCTTCCTCCAAAATAAAGCCGAGAAATGAAATATTTTAACAGAGGAGAACAGCCCCGCAGGGAACGCAGTTGAAAAGAAGCGACGTGTACACAGAGTGACTGGCCGATGGGCGAGCGTTGCCGCCGAGGGAGGGGGAGCCTGGAGACCTGGCCGTCACCCACAGGCAGGGTGCAGCAGGATGGGCTTCAGGAGCCACACTCCACTGATGGAGATTTGGGTGACGGCCCCGTTCCAGGGTCTGACAGATAAGCTTTGCCCCATGGTCAAGTCCGAGGGGCCTCAGCCCCCTCCAGCCACAGGCCCAGTGGAAGGCCTGCTCCTGGGCCCTGGAGGGGCTGGTAGAAGGCGCGCTGTCCGTGCAATGGGCACGGGGAGGGGAGTGTAGAAGGTCCTCTGCAGACTCCTGCTGGTCCCCGGCTCCTGTAGTGCAACGACCCACGGATACTGGGGCCCTGGGGTGGAGCGAGGGTTCCTTTTGAAAAAAGCAGTGGTGGGGCCCTGGAAAGAGGCTCAGGCAGGCAGAGTGCATTGGGTTTGTGGGGGTCTGTTCCCCCAGGGTTTGCAGGGGTTGGCATTCTGTCGTGGCGTCGGGTCCCCAGCAGAAACTGCCCTCCTGCCCAGTGTCTGGTTCGTCACGACCAGCAAGCTCGAGCTCAAGATGTTTGTGGGGACCCCCCTCTGCTCCCCAGACACAGATTGGGCAGGGTATGTTTCAGATCCCAAGGACCGTGCTGAGCTGGTGGGCAGGTGTGGTCAGATCCTAATGTCAGTCAAAAGTGGGAGTCAGGCCCCGATGGGGAAGCCCGGCCTCTCTTAGGGGTCCCGAGTGGTACCCTTGGGACTGCGTCCTGGGCACAGGACATGAGGACATGTTTCCTGGGTCGGTGGCCAAATCTGGGGGCACGTTGATGAACGGCCCACCTGTGCCCCAGCCCTGGGAAGGGGACAGATGAGCTTTAGCCCACATATACCGGTGGTCCAAGGTTCCGGGCCCAGGGCCTGTTCGCTTTAGCTCTGCCCGCGTGTCTCCCCCGCCCCTTGGCATTCGCTGTGGCCGGGGAGAATCCGGGGCAGTCTACCTGCCATCCATTTTTTTTTAGGTAAGCTCAAAACAGGTCTTTTATTGTTTTTGAAATTTAAAGAAATGCCAGCCTTGTCTTGGCACCCATCTCTTCTCATTAATGTCCCTTCTCAGCAGACAAGTCCGTTCCCAGGTCAGGGCGGTTTTCCTCTGACTCCTTGTGTAACAACTGCCTCACACTCATTTCCGGGGCCTTCTTTGGTGGGAGTGGTTTTATTCATGGTCTGGATGCCCTTTATTAGTTCTCTCCCTCTATTATCTTACCTTCCTCATCTTTTAAACCTCTGTTCACTTCCTCTGTGATCTTATAAGGCTGTTCAAGTTCATTTTTAGCTTTCCTGATTTGATTTTTTTCTACAAGGAACTCGGTTTTTTCTCCCATGTGAATTTAATACCTGCCTTCATTCTTTACATCTAGAATCTTGTTTCTAGGACTGTGCCCCTTCTGTACCACATCGCCATGGAGAATTAAACAAGAGCCTGTCTTCCTGAGTCACGCGGGGAGCACTGAGCAGGTGTTCTGGGAAAGCTCCCCCTGCTTCGTGGGGGGAGCCTGTTCCATGGGAGGTGCTTTCTCTGGGTTCAGGGACCTGGGTTTGGGGTCAGGGACCTGAACATCTGCAGGGCTGGGCAGGCCAGAAGTGCATGGAGCTGCTGGGTGGCGGACCCTCAGAGCTCCGATGGGCCAGTAGCCTCTGAAAGTCCCCATTTCTGCCGGACGAATGAGGCCAACCCAGTGGGAGCCAAACACAGGTCCTTCCTGGTGGGTGTCTGCCCTGGGGCTCCAGTTTTCAGCAGTAAACGCATCTCCCATGGGACGGAACTTTCCATGAGCTTCCATGTGGTCCCTGCTGACTCATCCTGGCGAGAAGAAGGCTCTCCCAGCCCCCAGGAGAGCAGGCAGGGTGCACAGGTCATGCCGGCTCCCCATCCACCCACCTGGAAGCAGTTCCATCAGATGCTGACTCTGAAATGGCAGGGGCAGTGACCATGAGAACGAGGCCGTCACTGCACAGAGCGCCCACCAGGCCCAGACGGGCCGAGGGCAGCAGCGGGATCCCATCCTGCACCATGGAGCCCTCAGTGAGACGCATGGGATGCTGTGAGCTCTCAGTAAATCACTGTTTCATCGTCGTTACTAATGGCATCTGTGCATGAAAACCACAGGCTGGGTCGCTCTGAGGGGCGGCTCCCACGACTCCCGGACACACCAGGAGGCACCAGGCTGGTTCTCGGGTCCAAAGGCCCGCTCTGCGCATGGGCGTGGACGTCTGAGCTGTCCCAGCATGGGACGTGCGGGTTCCTTCCGACACTCTGTGCTCTTCGACGGGAACAGATCGCCTTTTTGAGCACGTCCCACGGTCAGGCCCCACAAATGCTCCAGGCTCATCTTGTCTGCTTCCTGCCCCAGTCCCAGGGCCAGCCACGGTTTTGGGGGCCTGGCTTCTTCTGTGGGGATTGAGGGGTGATGTTGGAAACCAGCATCCAGAGGCCATGTGGGTCATTCTGCCGTCTTCGGAACTGGCCCTGGGACGAGATGATGGGCAGGCAGGGCCTCCAATCACAGCTTTGTGTGGGGTGTTGGGGCCCCAGAGGCCAGCGCTCCTTTCTCCACCAGCGCAACATTAAACAGCAAGCTGCCAACGGTTTGGGGCCGTTTGAGGACTTCCTGCTGGGACGCAGTAGCTACTCCCGTTCTTTTTGCTGCAATGACATACATTCCTTTGTGTGAGAAAGACACAGGTCTGCTAAGAGCTGCTTGATGAAAACCGCCGACAGTCCCACCTTCTTATAGCCGCTGTTCCGAGAGGTGCAGAGTGTCGTCTGCTGTGAGAGAAGCGACCGTGAGCAAGGCACAGAGGGAGGGTCTCCTAAGGCTCCTCTAATCTGGCAACTGGTCCAGGGTGACCCTTCCTGTGATGTCCTGGACGGGAGGACAGCACAGTCACGAGAAGTG